AAGTTCAGAAAGGTAATCTTTGTCCCAGGTGGCTGACACTGCCACTTCTTCCTGGGGGGCTGAGACCCTTCACCACACACCCTGAGTGGTTGGGTTTTATAGCTGGGCAGAGCAGCTTTCGGGTTCAAGGGCTCTCGTGTCTTTCAAGTCGAGCCACTTTGCACCTGAACTCCGAGTGGGGCTCCTTCCTTTCCTCCCCTTTTCTGCTGGACGTTTTCAGTTTCCCAGCTTAACAAGCATCTTCTGTTTCTAATGGACCAGATGATATAGAAGTCAGATTTGTCTTGGACAACTGGGAGGCCAAGGGTTCCTTCTCCCAGGCTGACGTTCACCGCCAGGTCGCGATCGTGTTCCGGACGCCCCCGTTCCTCAAGGACATCACCGAGCCTGTCACGGTGAAGATGCAGCTCCGGAGACCTTCCGACCAGGAAGTCAGTGAGCCTATGGATTTCAGATACCTACCGGATGAGAAGGGTATGGTCCCAATTAGCTGTGTTTCTGAAAAGCAATTATCAGTGCAGAACTCGAGGTAGTCGCTTAATTAGTAAAAATTCTACAACTTACGCAAAGCAGTGTTTTGGATTTTAAAAGTAACAACAGTCAGTTTGTTCCCTCTTTCAGTAAAAGTGTCAAGGGTCACTGTTCATAACACTGTCATGGTTTGTCAGTGCTGCCATGCTTGAAATATTTCTCTTTAAATGTATCTCTCTGCACCTTGGTGCCTCTAGGAACTTCCTTTACACGCTGTATCCAAGAGAACGGTAACACTTTCCCCTTCCACTCCTTTCTCCGTAGATCCATACGGCAACAAGGCAAAAAGGCAAAGATCAACGTTGGCTTTGCAAAAGCTCATGCAGGACTGTGGTAAGGAAAATATTTGCCTTTTTTTTTGTTGAGGGAACTTACATTTCGATGGAGCTGTTTTGTATGAGAGCAAACATTTGGAGTGGACTCACGCTTTCTTCCATCGCAGGATCAAACACAACAGAGAGGCCCAAAGTAACTCCGTTCCCCGTTGTCACTCCTGAAGGGAAGATGATTAAAAAAGGTAGGTTTTTGCCTACAGTCTCACAGTGCTTTGAAACAAACAGTGCCCTCCTCTTTGCTTGAAATTCTAATCTCTGGAGGGCTTCTTCCTGTGAGATGCTGATACTTTTGACTGTGCAAACATAAACCCATCAGTTCTTTACCTAACTGTAGCCATCACCCTCAGCGTGGGCCATAGAGGGGTGAGGTGCACAGCTCTCTGCTGCTGTCCAGAAATCTGGGGCCCACCCTGGAGAGCAGCTAAGCAAGTGTGAAAGTAGAAATGCAGTCTTACAGAGTGTTTCCTCGCAGTGTGCTTTCTTTGCTTATTACCATTCGTAATTTTAAAAAAAAATCCTTAAACCTGGCGTTCTCTCCATTAGAACCAAACCTGTTTTCGTCCTCGCTGATGATTCCCGGGTTGGGATCCCTGGCCAGCGCTGGTCAGATGTACCCTGGCTGCAGCCAGCTGGCCCCGGTGGGCCCAGGGAAGCAGGACGGGCTGTCCTCGTGCTGGCTGCACAGCTCCTCGGCCAGCGGCCTGCTGGGCACACACCCGCCCAACAGCTTCTGCGCGGACGCGCCTCAGCCGGCTCACGGCAGCGGCTCCCTCCCGACCTTCCACGACCCTGTGAACTGGCCCGACGAGAAGGATTCGGGTTTTTACCGGAATTACAGCAGCACCAACGGGCTGGGAGTTGCGGCGGCGGCGAACGTCGACCTGCCGAGCGTTCCCGGCGGCAGCGCCGTGCACGCGGCTCATCCCGGCGGCGCCGCCTCCGGCATCGTCAGCATGGACACCGACGACATGAACTGCACCAGCGTCAACTTCGACAAGTTCAACGTGGTGCTGAACTCGGGCGCTCCCAGGCAGCAGATGCAGCTGGGCCCGCCCGGGGCCGGCGCTTCGGGGTTCGCTTCCCAGCCCGGCTTGGCCGACCCCGTTTACAGCTTCATAAACTCGGAGGTTCTGGGCGAGCCGAGACTCTCCACCCCCCACCAGGGCGGCCTGGCAGACGCCCAGTTCTACGACGGCGACGGCGTCCACGCCGACGAGCTCTACCAGTCCTTCCCCTTCGATAACATCCTACAAAGCTACAACCCCTGAGGGGCGGAGCTTCCCAAAGGTGCCACCGCCACGTGGAGAGGAGTCGTTCACCCTTCTGGAGTCCCCGCTTTCTCCCTCAGAATGTCGCTGTGCAAGTTTGACGATGGAACTTAAGGTTATTTAAGTTACCATAAGAGTTAAGTTATTTAAGCCCATAGTGGTGCCCGTCAAGAAGGGGGAGGTGGGGGTAGGGTTTGGGGTCCTGTACCTTAAAAGTACCTTGTTAGGTGTATTTTGGCGCTGTTGGTAAAGGGAAATGGTAACACTTAAAGCTTCCTTGCCTTTGGGGACTGTAAAAGCTGGTGTCTTCAGAAGGGTTAAAATTTCAAATACTTCACAGGGTTAAAGTTCTTTCAAAGCAGCCATTTTTTGCTATAGAAATTCAATTTTTGATAGGACAGAAATTAGGAAAACAAACCTGCACATGAGCACTCTAGTTCAGTCTCATCTACAGATATTAAAGTTCAGCTCAGCCTACTTGAAAGGTTTAGGTTTCACACCCCCTTTCTATAGATACTGTTCTTCTAAAATGAGTTACATGTATTGATTTTCCACACTCCATTTGCTTTGAAGGCAAATTGACTGGTGAAATTTTTTTTTTTAATGACTATGTCATTGTTAGATGTATTTAAAAAGACCGGAAGGTTTGAATTTTTAAATAGTCCAGCTCTGTTGTAAAGGAAATCACTGCACAGGAGAAGGAACAGAAAGTCTGCACTTCATCCAGAGTGCACTTGTTTTATAAGCCAAGCCCTGTTGCTTTAGGGATGAAGCTGTCATTGCTCTGCAGTTGTTGTGTGTGAGTGTAGCTGTGATGTGTGTGTGGCGTTTTGCACGGCGGGAATCTCTTGAGCCGAAGTATCTACTTGCTTTTTTTCCTCAGGTATCCCAGCAGTTTCCTGCTATGCAAGTGACTGCTCAAAGGAAGGCTCAGATCCTGCCCCCCCCCCCCCCAGCACCACCCCCTCCCGGGAGGGCAAAGCCAGGGGCAGCCCTTGGGCAGCCCCATCTCTTATTAATGACCTTTAAAGCCATTTCAGTCAGTACCAATTAAAAACACTCCTCTCTCCTCTGGATCAGGAACCAGAACTTCCTCCCTCCCCCTTGATTCCCAGTCTCCCCTCTTAGCCTGAGCCAGGAGCTGTTCCATGACACCAGCTGGGAGTGACTGGCTGGGTAAGACACTCTGGGCCTTGGCTACTTTATTATACTGTTATTTTTTAAAGAAGCAACACAGCAAGAAATGTCTGAGTATTTCTTAGGTGATACATCTGTTCTGTAGGGCAGATAAGGCTTGAGGGTCTGAATTGTTACCATTTGGTGGCATAAAAACAGACCATGAAAGCAGCAACAAAAAAAAAGGCACACTTGGATATAAAAAAACCCAAAACAAAACAAAACAAAAAAAATCAAAAAACCACCCCCAAATCTAAAAAACCACTTGAGACATAAAGTTAGACACAAGGAAGGAGCTCCAGAAGCCCTCTGTGGTTTATGGGATTCCCTCCCTGCATTCCCTTGTGTTGGGAGCACTCTGGTGCTGCTGCTGGAATCCATCCATTGCACAGGTGACAGTCACACTGTAGGATGTGTGAAGTTTGGGAAACTGCTTCCCCAAACTCCAGGTGCACAAAGCCATGATTGACTCTCCCTGTTTTAAAGCAGTTTTCCCTCACAGCTCCTCTGCAGTCTTGAGCAATAGGAAGACCAAAGAAATACACAGAAAGTTTGAAATGTGTTGTTTATTCAGTTGTTTTTTTTTTTTTTTGAAGTTCTCAGTTTTAAGTATATTAAATGTAAACATTTTACTCACTTCATAGAAAGCTCTTTATAGTACAATTTGTTTTTACTGTATAATTAAATATTTTCAAAGTTCTGTTTTCCTTTGTAAACGAGTTGGTTTGGTAATTAAAAAAACTGGTTATACCAAGTGCTCAGCTTCTGCAACCTCCTCAGCTTTGTGACATCCCTCACCACGGGAAAGGCAGGGAAAAGGGAACAAGGTAGGTTATCACTTGCTTGTTCTGGGGCTTTTTGTGGGTATTTTCTGCTCCCAGTTACTGGTGGCCACTACAAAACCTCAGGCAATGGAAGGTTTTGTGGCAGAGCCATTGAGTTTTTAGGCAGAGGGGAGGAGGGGACAGATGCTTTGGGCACATCTATGCTGCTGGTACAGCTTTCTCTGGGCAAAACCCAAATGGAAGGGGGATTGGAGGTGACCAGTTGGAGAAACACAAGATTAAATCTTGCTCTCAAAGCATCAGTTTGAGTGCTCACAAGGTGGTGTTTTACTGGTAAAAATAAGGTGAAGGCCAAAGTCCACCATGAATATTATTATTGCTGCAATATTCCTCACATGACAGTTCAAAGGGTTGTCACCTGCTGTTGGAAGCTGGCCTTGGAGCAAAGTCCAAACCCCCAGGTCGCATCCCGGGGTTTCATATTTGCCCGTGATCCCTGCCCAGGAACTGCCCCAAGAGCTGCAGGGATTTGCATCATCATTTGGAGGCTTGACATTTATCATGATTGGGAATTTTTGGAGGACCTCTCTGTGTCCTCAGCACACTGAGGGCAATGTTTATAGCCTGGTTTATCTGCACTGGGATTCAGGACGTGACCCCCAAGTGCAGCAGGAGCTGCAGAGGGAAGTGCCTTGTGTGTCCTTGACCTACAGCAGGAGCAGCCCTTTCTCCTTCCCCCTTTGGCTCCATTCCCCCTTGGAACAGCTCTTCTCATGCCTGTTGTGCCAAAATGCACAGCCTTGTTTACATTTTTTGTTCCCTGTAGTTTATGGAATTTATAAATCATATTTCAGCTCACTCTGAGTTTCAAGAAATCACAGTTGTGAGACTGAAATTCTCTTTTCGTTTGTTTTCTGAATTCGGTTTCTTTAGTTTTCCATCATTCATGACACTTCCTGTCTGGCTACAGCTTATTATCTGAGAACTACTCCTGGAATCTGTTGCTCATATTGGCTATAAGATTAAAACCAAAAATAATATTGCTGTCTGAATCATGCTCCTATTATTTTTGTGTTAGAAAAACAGGAGCTTCTGAATTACTTGTGTTGCAGAGGGCTAGGAAAGCACAGCACAGGCAGTGCAGAATTTTTCGAGATGATTTTTTTTTAGGAGCTCTTTAAAAATGTATTTATGAATAGTTTTAGAGCCTCCAGCTCAAGTTCTCATGCAGCTGTTCTGGTCTGAGGTCCTGGCACCACTGAATTAAAGGGAAGGCATCCCAGTCATCCTCCCTGTCCCCAAACAGTGGTTGGTCTTGGCAAATATTATGCTCTTTATTTCCAAAATGTTAATTAATGAAGAGCCCTTAAATTCCAAACCTTAATTTCTTGCTGATAGTTTAACTCTCTTCTGAACTTCAGGGAAGCATCTTCCCTAATGGATTAACGTGATGCAGGTATAAAAGTGACTCTTCCTAAAGATGTAGGTGGTGCTAAGTAGGAAACATTTAAAATAAGCAAATTAAAAACCTCAGATCTTCCCTATCCCAGGCAGGTTTAAGTCTTCCAGGCATCCATCCAAGGTGAGGTGTTAGAAAAATTGTGTTATGCTGCTAAATCAAAGCTTTTTAATCCCTGTCTCTGGATTCCAGCATCCTCAGGTAGGTTTTGTGTCTGCCTGCACTTTGAGATTCTTTGGTATTCCTGTTTTTCTTTAGATCCCCATCATGCACCACTGCCAGGAGTTCCCAATCTTTTTATATGTGGTGACTCACTGGGGAATTCCTGCTCCTGGAGAGGACTGTGGCCAGGCTGGAGAGCTCACGAGGCCCCAGCTGTTGTTTCTAGGAAGTGTCGCCCATGTTTTTAAATTAGAAAAACTTGGTTTTAAGTGCAAAGGTTTCCTCTGAAAAATGTTTTTGCCCTTTGTGAGATAAATCTGCCCATCTCTAAAACTAACCCTGACCAAAAAGCAGCCAGCAAGGAGACTTGCTCCAGCACTGTCCTGCTGGCTTCAGTCTCCCTGGCTTTTGGGATTTCCTGCAGGAACAGTGCTCAGAAAGAGTTGGGATTTCAGGTAACTCAGTGCCACCTGCATCCAGAAAAGGAAAGCTGTAGCATCCAATATAAAAAGAATTTCAAAAGAAATCTGGCTTGAGGGAGGGTTATCTTTAACTATAATTTATCAGGAATGCACTGGCTTCCCAAAATCTTTTTATGCGTGGAAGAAATTAAAGTAAGGCCAGAGACTGAACCAACACTACCTGGTCCAGAGTGTTCAAAGTAGATTCAAAGTCAGGGTATCCTTTGGCAGATCAACATGATCCAAGTGTTCCATGGAAACCCTTTGCACCCAGGCTGAAACACTGCACAGTGTTTGGTCATGAGCTGCTGCTTCCTCATCCCTTGGGAAGTCAGTTATCCAGGGTCGGGGGCCAGTCGACGTCAACAGACTAGGAAAGAGGAGGAAAAAAAAAAGGCAAAAATCACCAGAGCTGATATTTTACACATATCAAAAGAGTCACAACTCCTTTTGCAGCATCCCTGGATGTTGGGCTGTGTTTCTAAAGTGCCCAGAACCGTTTGTTAGGAACGTGAACTGTCTCCAGCTTCTCCCCATCCTGCAGCTGGGCGGCCACGGTGTGAAAACAAACCACGAGTGGATGGATGGCACAGAAATATTCAGGTATTGGGTGGTGCAGGCAAGGCTTGAGTAGAAAACCATCACCTGTCCCCAAATCTAATTCATAATGTGTCCTCCCACCCCTCCCTGACACAAATTTGGAAGAGGAAGCCTGGCACGTGTGGCAGTGTGGGACAAACCAGTATTCTTGCATTAATATTAATTTTTCTATTAACTGTGCTAAGGAATGTTGATCCACTTGGAGCAATTCCGTGGAAAGCATCTCAAAAATTCAACCACCTCAGTAATTTCCAGGAAGGTTAAATAGCAAACAACTTACTTCCACATCCAGCTCCAGAATGTCAGCAGTTCTGTTCAGGAGGGACCCAATATTGGGCTTTGTTCTTCCAAAGTCTCCATGCACAAATTCTTTAATGTAGCTGGAAACACTGGCTAAGGAGAGGTGGATTTTACAGCAAAGAAAGCAAAAGGGGGGAAAAAAAGGTGGTTTTTTTACTCTTAAGACAGTTTTTAGTAAAAATCTTGTTAAGCTTTAAAAGAGCTCCTAATTCCTGGCTTCTGACTAGTGGCAAAAACTGCACCACTGACCTTTATCTTCTGATTTATTCCAAAGTGAGGGGTGACTTTATGACAAAACTCTTAACTTGTAAGTAGCAGCAACCCACGGTCTGCATTGAAGTGCATTCAATATTGCAGAAAAGCCGATTTTCTAAGGTGAGAAGTTATCAGTTAAATTAAGAAAGTGTATTTTCAACCAGGACATTTCTATGGCTGTCACGTGCATTTAAACTATCAGGGCATTGGACTCAATAGTCCTTGTGGGTCCCTTCCAACTCAGAATACTCTGTGATTCTGTGAGTGGTCAACACAAAACTCCACCCACACCAGGTGGCACTTTGGAAGTGAAAACCTCGGTGTGGAAACTGTGCCATATCAAAGCAAAGATCCTGCAGCAACACATGAGTGCTGGAGAGCAGGGATTCCAAAACGCCGCAGGGATCCGAGCAGGAAACTCCCCGTGATCCCAGAGACTCCAATCAGGAGCTGTTTGGTGCCAGGGCAGCCAAGTGACTCCAATCAGGAGCTGTTTGGTGCCAGGGCAGCCAAGGATACGTCCCTGCCTGAGTCTTGAGGTGCAGGCGGAAATGGTGCTCGTCGATGTACTCGGAGCTCATGGTGTGGATGATCCGGCAGCGCACGGCCAGAGGCCGCCGGTGCAGAACACGGAGAGGGGTCTTCTGGTCCAGTTTTAATTCCTGCCACAAGAGAGAGTGAAATGTAACACGCTGAACAGCCTGTAGGAGTCACACGTGTTGTGAACCATTCCCATCTTTTTATCCTGAGTAATCTTGAGACAGGACTCATTTTTTCCAAGTTTATCAAAGGAGAAAGGACAGCCATCTCCAAGGCCTCGCATGAACACAAACTAATGGAATCACAAATGCAGAGGAATAACCTTGAAATCTCCATAGCCCTTTGCTGGAATGACTCCAGGATTTAGCAGCTCGCCGAGAGCCTCAGGGCAAATTAGAGAAAAAAAAAAAAATCCCACCCACAAAATGCTTTGTCTAAACTACAGCCAACCCCCTAGAAATAAAAGTGAGGGAAAAAAAATGAGATTAGATCTCAGAACAGTCTTTTCAGAAGTTCATTCCCCACTCCCTTCCCAAAGGAGATGCAGCAGTTTGAAAGGCAACTTTTCAGGATTGAGGGAAGCTCCAGGAAAAGCCAACAGTTGTCTCCCTGAGCTGTGTGCAGTTGCTTTGAGTTCGTGGGGAAGAGCTGTAGGAAATGGTGCAGCACAACAACAACTGAACCCACTTCTCCATCAGCCCAACATCTGGAGAAAGTTCTCATTCCACAGTGTGCTGAGCCTTCCTAAGGCCTCTTACCACTCTTTGTCACCGGCACTTCCAACTTGGAATTGTTGTGGCCGCGGGAGAGCGGCTGTAGAGCAGAACAAAAGCTCTGCCACTTCTGCTTACACAAAACACTGTGTAAGGTAAAGGAAGGGATGCAGGTGCCAGGTTTCCTCCTCTGCCATCCACTAATTTTGATTATTTGGTGTCTGGGAAGGTGAACATTACACAGGTATTTGTTGGCCTGGCCAACAGTTGGGCAGCTGTCCTGCTTGGATGACTGTGGTGAAGGAAAAAAAAGGTGGTATGGAAGTCCCTACAACAAGAGAAACCCTGATAAAAAAAACCAAACACAGAGGAAGAGATATCATAGTATTTAAAAGTATTTACCTCTTCCCTAGGGCACCAGAACAGGTACTATTTATATCAGCAACAAGAGCTCCTGATACCTTGATATCATCCAGGAGCGCGATGTCTTCCCTCTGGATTGCTTTGTCCGTCCATATTAAGGCACTATAGGTCTTTGTCTTCTCCTCCTCACCTTCCTTCATACGACCAATTGCCTCTCTGCACAAGAGAAACTAATTACTCACTTAACACAAGCATAATTATCCCAGGCTGTGAGCAAGACCACTTGCACAAGTCCCAAAGTGTCGCCCTGAAATCCCTCGGCAGCGCCGGGAAATACTGACCTGGTGACGAGCTGCAGGTCTCGAACCTGGATTTTGTCTGAAGAGTTATTAATTGCCTGTTATATTTTCAAAAGGAACCAGTTAGAGCTGCTGGGCTGGAGAGGCAGCACGTGCTCCACGGGGCTCTGTGAGGTGCAAATGATTTACCTGCTGCAGCCTCTTCATTTCCTCCGCGGTGAAGTGGATCCTGCGAGGATTCACCAGCTCGATTGCAAAGGGCCTTCCTGGCATCAGGCACAGCCATAAAACACAAAAACATGAGTGTTCTAAATGAACACGGGAATTTACACAGGAAGGCTGGGAGGTGTGAAGCCTGGCTGCTGTTAAGACAAACAGGGACAGGACTTGTGGGCTTAGGGATGTGGCATCAGATGGAAGGAGAAGAAATGAGGGACTTTTTTTTTTTTGGCTACTAAAGCCCAGTTTCGGCAGCGAGTGCAAATTATGACTTCCCAGAAGACTTCTTGTACAAGTCTGTGCTAATTAAAAAATAAAATAAGAAAAAAGTTAATTAGCTTATTTTCTGTCACCTACAGCAATGCCCAGGTGCAGGAGGATGTTAAATCCCTGCTCCCTCAGCTCAACATCTGTTGCCAGAGTTGTTCTCTCTGTGCTCGGGGCCAGGGACAATCCCCAGCACAAGCAATGCCAGGAGCCACAGCAATCAGACAGCAACTGAAACATGGAATTGCTCATTTTTACTTTTTCTTGCCCTCCTCCTTTGGCTGCAGCAGCTCCAGCATATTGGAAAGCAGCTGACCTTTCCAAAGGACCCAAGCTGAAAAAGAAAATAAGGCTCCCCCTACTCCACAGGGACAGTGAGGGAATTAGAAGGATCCAACAGCAAACAAGACAGGAATGAGTCTGACAGAAAGGGCTTCAAAGCAGGGAGTGAATAAAATCAAATACTCCCAACCAGCTCTGCCTTTCCACGCAGCCAAGGCCACTGAGACGGCGTTTGGTCTTTGGGAATAAATATATAAATATCACTAAAATGTTTCTGAGATAAAATTTCAAAGCCTGCCTTAGCATTCAGCAAGATCCATTAAAACCAGCTCACACAACCACTTAGTTTCTGCGTTTCACAAGGGATTTTCCAAGCCTTACCATTTCCTAGTGTCCTCACATCCACATCTTCTCTTCCAGAGGAAGAAAAATTAAAGCCTGTAACAGATTTAAACAAGGCAGGCGAGATTTTTATTTTACATTTTTCGTACCGTCTACAGCTTTAAAAGGTGAAATAATGTCTTTCTAAACTTGTTTGCAAAATCTGCTTCCAAGAGTTGCCTTTACAAACACTTCAGGGACAAATCTGGGATATTACTGTTTATTCACAAGTTTTTTGATGAGCACTCCCAGTTCCTTGGCCTGAATGAGATACTCCAACCAGAGTAACACATCCACTGGGAGGAGAGGGAAGCAGCAGGGTGTTCTCCAAACTGATATTTAATGCAATTTTTCCTTGGGCTTTCTGTTGTTTTTAATTCCACAAGCAATGGGCAGTGATTATTTCATCTGGATAATCTCTGGATAGGCATTATGTGCACTGAAGAAAAGAAATGAATCAAGGTAAGAGACATGAAGGGCTTGAAAGTCAGGCAGATGTTACAAAATGCTGGTGGCAAAAAACCTCCTTGATACAAGTCATTTTATGAATCACCAGCCCATCAGAAGGTTGGTGGGGCAAAATCCCTGCTATACATGAAACCAACATATTTGCATCATCAGATGAACTGAGGAGCTACTTTAGCAGGATAAAAGGATCTAATTACTCACAGATCACAGCTAAAAAAAAAATTACAAGCTTTGACTTGGAAGGATAAGAGAGGGATAAAGAAATAATAGCTTTTTTCCCCTCACACTCTTGGATTAAGTGGGTGGGTACTAAGAAAACTCTTCTAAAAAATCTTCTAGCAGTGATGAAAAATATGTCTGGTAAGAGATCTTCTAAATACTTACTGTCTGCTTTGAATTCAGCCATGAGATGCTCTGAAATTAATTCTTCCACTGAAGATTCCAGCTTCCTCTCCCCATCAATAATCCAGGGGGTCTGAGGTAAATTCCTGGAATATTTGTTGTACCTTCCTGTAAAAAAAGAGCTGAGTTAGCTGTAATCCCTCTAAACCAAGGGACAAAAGCTTTTAACACATTTAACCTTCATTGGAGCTTTGTGGAAATGACTTTACAGGCTCAAACTTGTTTTGTGGAAGAGCATTCCAGCAACATTACGGAATGCTTGTGGCCTCATCCAGGAGAATTCCAGTATCCAGGATGGCCACTTAAAGGTGGGCTTGGAGAGCCTGTTGCTGCAGTCTCACCTTCAGGGATAACCCTCCTTTATGGAGTAGTTCAGGTTCCAAGCCAAGTCCTGCCACTTTCTGAAGGCTTAAGGAGAGAAATCCAAACTAAAATGCTTTGGCTCCCAAGGAAAACCACGTGAGGAGCAGAAAATCTCCACGATAAACTAGGAGGAACGTCAGGAAGGTAAAGAGATTGGCATCCTTGGACTGATCTCATGGCACCTCCGTGGCACAAGGGCTGCTACAACCAAAGAACAAGCCTTGGATGGCCAACAGGAGCCTTTTTTATGGACAGGTTTGGTAAGAAGTGAAAAATATTCCCAAAAGCAAGGGCCTCATTCGCGTGAAACCTTGCAAAGGAGCTCAGAGCAGCTCTGTGCTTTACACTGTGCCTCTGACACCTCGAGTTTTTTGGGGGGGTTGTATCATATTTTCCTATCTCGAACGATGTTTCCTTCTTGCAGAAAAAGCCACGCAAACAAATGGGGAAACTGAGTAACGGTTTCACTGGGGCAAGGAAAGGAGGTGACTCACCGTTCACAGGCAGCTTCTCACTGCTAAATTCTCCTTCCAGAAAATGGAAAAAGGAGAACAAGATAAGAATTTTAACTCTTGATCTGAACAAGAGGAGGTTTAAAAAAAAAACACAGAAGGTGTTTCTCGGTTTGACAGCTCCTGAATCCTCAAAAAAAAAAACAACCCTGAGCTGAGGTGGGAAGTGATCACTGAACACCAAAGGGAAGGTCAAGAGGGCAAGGTTAACTCTGAAACTGTGCTTGCTAATTAAGACCCTGTCTCATTTAATAATAACAAAATAACTGCTCTGTGCTCAATAAATCCCATTTTGGATTTATTTCTTTGAAAATTAAAAAAAAATCCTGCCTGGATTTTTGTTGTTGTTGGAGCAAGATATAAACTGTAAATCACAAAGCCAGTATTAACTGACATGCAGAAAGCAAACCCTCTTGCTCTTCATACAGATGGATTCTGATAAAACCATCCAACAAAGCAACCTAAAATAAAACAGTGTGTTTGGAAAAGGCTAAAAGGAACTGGGTATCTTGAATTCCACAAATCTGTCTAATCAGTAATTAAAAAAAAAAAAAAAAGGGGGTACGCATAGAACATCAACCAACCTGCCACTCACTTGTGCATTTTTTCATTTTCCATTTTCCTGTAGCCAGGATTTTTATCATCCTTTTAAACACAGTGTGTTGGATTTAAATTACAGGTTGGGGTTTTTTTAATCTGCTTGCATGTGTTTAAATAAGTTGTTTATACACAGGCCTGGGAGAAGGGCAGATGCTCCTGCAGGCAGGTGATAAAGAGGGGATCTGTCATTTCCTTCCCCTTTCAAACCCACCCACTCTTGGGTAGAGCTGGATTTGTTTCTTTGCCTCTTACACTTAATTACAGGAATTTACAAACAGAAGAATCTCTGGCTCTCATGGCAGTGTTAGAAAGTTCTGTTCAAGATGGCACAGCAGCAAATAAATTCACCTTACCGGCCACAAAAACTGCACCATTATTGCACTGAATTTCCAGAGCATCACACAGGTTCTTTGGTGAACTTGGGGGACATGGAAAATGCCTGTATTAAAAAATAAAAAAGAAAAAAAAAGAGTAAAAAAAATTACTCGTAATACCAAAACATGATGGCTTCTCACTGTGTGTGATTTTTACCATATTACAGCTCTTGGTGTTTAATTAAAACTCAACTCCTGACATTTTGGAAATATGGGCAGAAGTCTTGCTTATCTTACAAACTCTAAGGTTCAAAATAATCCTTAATTAAAAGATCAGGAATGATTTTCTATTACCAGAAGAACAGAAAACACATTTTAACCAGTAAACCATCAGAATTTAAACAACCAAAAGTTCTTTTATAGACACCCTACCACTACTTACCCACAGAATATTTTCCTCCTCATCCTATTTTCTATACAGAAGCACAATACTAAGAACTAGTTTCAGTATAGACTTACTTGAGAAAATCCTCTTCTTTTATCTTCTCTAGGGCTTTTATAACTGCCATTCTGGTGAAAACAGACTGCACAGTGAAATAAAAAAATGAGTCAAGAACTAAGAAAAACAGAGAAAGGATATGCCTAAGGGAGAAAAAAAGCACTAAAATATACACAGTGTTGAGCTTTTTCACTTGGGAGCCCAGATCCAAATTTGCAAACTGGTTTAAAAACAGAATCCTAAATCCATGACCAGAAACCTAAATCACCTTCTTTTTCAAGAGTTAAGCCCCAGCTTTTATCTCAGTGACAGCAGGCAGCTAGTTCTGGAAATAAGCCTGTTGAGGAGGTATCTGGTTCTGAAGTTCAAAAGTTGATTTGGGTCCTCCCAAAAGCTTTCTCCTCGCCAAGAGAAGAACCTTCCACATGAAGAAGTCCAGGTTCCTGAGCCTCTCCTCCCAGCCCCCTGGCTGCTGGATTTCCAATTTAATGGTGTTTTTTCTGCAAACTGGACTGGGGATTTGGGGAAAGAAGTTGAAAATACTGGGGCATTGTTTGGGACAATTCAAGTCTCTGCTCTAACACAGAGTTCCTGGGTGCCTTCAGGAAAGCTGCTCTTTGTCCTTCTAAGCATAAATCAGAGCTAATAGCACTTCTCTTCCTCATGGAACAGATGAACTGGAAAACCCTTAAAGTGGTAGCAGGTTTAAATAACTATCTAGAGCAGATAGCACAGAAATTTTCCCTCAGAACCCAGTTCTTACCCCACTCCTCTGACTAACACAGCCCTTGAAGCTTCAAGCCCAGCTTCTTTGTGAGGACAAACCTCTGATGGCTCTTCATTTTTGCTTTAGATTCCCCCACATTTTGTTGCCTGTGTGGTTTTAACAGCCAGGCCCTGCTGGTTTGGCTCCTCATGTGGGATTTGCCCCTTTTTCAAGGGAAGCAATGCAGCAAGCGGTGAGTTACAACAATACAACCCTTCTAAAAAAAAGACTTGCATTTATTGCTTGGGTGGAGTAGAACCAGCAGAATTCCTGGCTCAGTTCCTGCCTCTGCCAAACGTTGGTAGTCTCTTCTCCAGGATGAATAAAAGGCCTTGCAATGGCTTCTGATAGAAGTCACTTGTTCTCCCTCTGATCACATCAACTGTCCTACTCACATCGGCTTCTCTCCAACTGGTTTTTTATCCCTCGTCCTCTTTTCCACCAATGACTGTGTGTGTGCTCAGGGCCTGCAACAAGTGGCAAGGCCCCTTTTCTTCCCTCCCCTCCTCCAGAGGCAGAAGGATAAAACCATCCTGCCCATTTCATGGCTTTCAGTCACATCAGAGGACATGGGAACTGCAGTGTGATCACGTATTTCCCTTTTGGCTGCAGAGTCTCATCTTCACAATGTGCCTCATCTGAACTGTTTCACCCACAGAGAGCTGGAGGATCATCTTTTATGCTACTTCTAATGCATGACAATCAAATTCCTAGATCTTAAGGGAGGTATTTACAGAGACCATTCCTAAAATTACAGCCTGGAAGATGCACGACCTGAAGAAAAGCACCAAGCTCTCAGTTTTCTTAAGGTGAGAAATGTGAAATGAATAAAGGAGACAACTTTATTTTTCAGACAGCTGAAAACTAGAGAGATTTCTGATGAAGGGAAACCAGACATTAAACACTGACTGAATACCCAGGTAAGTTCTTTGTTGTAGCCACTGCTGTGAAATTCTGGATGTCAGAAAAGAAATACAGAAAAGGTGAGATCTTACCTGTTTGTTCTTTGCTGGTTTGAAACAGTCTGGACAGGCTGTGGCTCTAAATGCAGAAATGAAAATTAGCTGCTACTCTTAAGAAAAAGAAATAAACAGACAGACTCACAAACACAGCACGGAAATGGGTTTTGTACCTATATCCAAGGTCTTGCTTCCAAGAGTTTAAAATTCACTTAATCCTAAACCACAAACAGTGCAAGGTGTGCATTGCTTGATCCAGAGAGAATCCCTGGACAAAAGGGTGCAAGTCTCTTCTGCCCTGACCAACACAAACCCGTGGAAAAGCACACAACAAGTTTAGCTTTCAGTCCTTTCCAATCTTTCTCGATAAAGGGCACGATTAATATTTTCGTTCTGTGCAAGATTTGCTGCGATCTTGAAATCTGTGCTTGCTGCTCTTCCAGAATGCCCACTACAAACTCCAGATTCAAACCACCCCTTCTGGATGGGAAGATTCAATGTATCACCAAAAAAGTAACCCCAGGTGTTCAACACCATTGGTGTTTTGCCTCTTCAAAAGGAAAATCTCGGTTGTTTCACGAAAGCGAAAGCCAGGTCAGGGAAACACTTTTCTTGGTACTGCAGAGGAAGTTGCTGTTCCTATTAATGGATTTCTATGTATGCAGGCAGGAGGATTTCTGGATTTCTATGTATGAAGCCAGAGATGTTTTCTAACCTACAACCCAATTTATCATTTCTTGCTGGTGCTTCTCAACACCTCTGTAACTCTTTTGGACTCTGAGGAAGCAGCTCTTGCTTCCCAGGCCGGTGTGCAACACAAATGCCCTCTTCCAAAATTTCAGGATGGCCTTACCCTTAAACATAAATCTCCAAATGTGAACTAACAAGAGCCAGTTCAATGTTCCACGAGCAACCAAGGGTCATTTCAGCCCATCCACTCTTCACACAGCTGTGTAGGAACAGCTTGAGACATGAGAAGCTGCGGGCGCCATACTTGAAAAACCCGTCCAAAAGTGTTCTTCAGGTTGAGACAAAGTCCTGCTTTGCTTCCATAAAACCCAAGAGTGTCATTTCTACTGTGACAATTGCCAAATTTCCCATATTTACATCAAAAACAAAGCACTGCCTCAGAACATGCCCAGAGCCAGCCTCTCACATTTGTGGGATGCCTTGACACCTCAGAAATGACTCTGTAATTAAATTAATGTGCTGTTACTTCAGGAAAGTGTCTCAAACCTTAATTGCTGTTTAAGTATCCTAAAAAGAGAAGGCAAATAAAGGGATACTGTCAGGTCACAGGGAAGAAACCTGAGTAATTGGAATGTGGAATGGAGCTTCCTTACAGCTTTCACCTCTACAGCACTAACACTGGCACCTTAAAGTGCTCCACATCCATCCTTCTGAAATGCCACAAAAAGGATGGAAGGATGAGCTGGAAATAGGAGTGGAGAGGTTTCAGAGGAAGGAAGAGCACCACAGAGAACAAGAACTGATGGAGTAAAACTAAATAAATAAGAACAAAAGGGTGCAGGATCCAGAAACATTTCAGTTTTTACAGGATTGCAGGTACTGTTATTTAGAACTGTGGGTTGGGCCTACAATTTTCTCCCTCTTTTGCCCACTGTTAAGAAGTTGGAAAGGAAAGATGTTCAGCAGACACTGGTAATCATTGTTCCTAATGCCTGGTCCATCCCCAAGCAAGCATTCCCTCAACCCCCCTCCCCAAAATCAGGGAAATATATAGAGGCTGCAAAAGGAATCTCGGGTCTCAAGAAATTAATTCGCTGTTCGACAGAGACATCTCTGCCAAACCTCTTTCTGTGCTCAGATTTTAACTGCAGCAGGTGCAAGTTAACTGAGTGAAACTGAGGTTTTCCAGGAAGCATCAGCAAACAGGAAGAGTGAACCTAATTATCCACAACATACCACAGATTTTGAGAAATCAGATGAAATGGCAGCTAAATTCACAGAAATATTTTGCTTCTTTGTGTACAGCAGATGCCCTGCAGGGCCAGGCCAAAACTTCTGTTTGTTTGAATCAACCAGCTAAATTGGATTAACACATTTCCAAGCCTTCCCTCCCATCTGTGTCTCCTACAGGAGCAGGAAAACCTAAGCATGACCTCGAAAGATTCCCTCATGTGGTTTGAATCTATTTTTTTAAAATGATCCAGGGAATGATTTTGAAAAGGGTTGAAACTGGACAACTTATCCCAACGTTCTCCTTCCAGTTCCAATCCAAATCCTGGATGACTTTGTTTATTGGCATTAGAACTGAATTAACCAGAGATGATGTAACTTCAAGCTCTGCAACTTTCTGTGGGCACGAGGAAGTTTAGATGCAGGCCCCGTCCTAGTTTATAAACACCTGCATCTGCAACAAATCCAAACCAACAACGTTGCGCAATATTTAGATAAAGATCTTTTGTTATTTATATCAAACTTACAGGAAACGGCACTCCTCGTCTGTCTCTGGGTGAGCAAAGACCACGCTGACTTCAAACAAACTCTAAATTAAAAAAAAAAAAAAGAAAATAAAGAACGAGAACGCGGTAATAGTGTTTGTTTTTTTTTTTTAAAAACAGGGAAGATATTCTCAAGCAAAAAGAAAACAAAAAGGAAAACAGTAAAGAGAGAGAGACAAAAGAGATAATGACCCATTTATTCTCCATCTAAAGACTTCCAAACGTTTGCCACGGTAGCATTTGCATTTCTGAAGTCACCAAAGATTGTCTGAGAGCACTTCAGAGCCTGGAGTGACCCGCACACCCCCACACCGGGGGGCTGAGTCAGGGACAGCCTGTGCTCCAAGCCTATTACGGTCACTAAACTCCACCAACCTTCTGGGAGAGCGTGGAATAAAGATAAAAACCCTGAGGTCACCACGGTAAAATTTTGTCAGGGGCTTCCTTTGCAATGACTGGATGGATGGCCTTGGGGCAAGGAAAGGCAGCTGTGTCCTCATGGATTGACAGCTAGCCCAGGAACTCCAGTGTAATCTCAATTCTACCCCCAATTCCCTCCTTGGCCTTGGGCAAACAACACTCATTACTTCGGTTATTCAGACACCAGAACACCTCAAGAGGGCTATTGAAAAGATTGGCTAATATTCAAGTGCCTCGTAGATAAAGAGCGCTGGAAAAGCAACTTTTATGGTACAGGGATGTCTGCAGTGGCTCAGGGCTCAAGTGTTGGAGAGCTTTTGCCAACTTGGTAGGTAAGAAGTTTATTTTTTCTTGGATCATCTTCAGAGGAAATGGAGCAATTTGTGATTCACTAAGACAAAAGGGGATGCTTTCAATTAGCACTCCTGGGAAAAGACAATCTGTAATTATTATGCAAGCAGACAAATCAACATAAAGACTAAGAATACTGAGAGTCCAGTCCTGGGGTCAGCCCTTTGGCTGGTGACAAGTAAAACCTGCAGACTGCCTTGTCCCCAGCAGGAATTTTAGCCACCTTTGCAGAAATTTTAACATTCAGGATGCTGGTGCTTCTGAATTTGTCTGGCAGATCTCAGGGTCATGCTCAGTCAATGCATTTCAGAAATATTTTAAGAATATAAATCAGAATCTGCAAGTTGAAAACAGTTTGAAAAAATATTTCTACTGTCTGCTTAGGGGTGTTGCAGGTATTCCCTCAGGATTGACTTGGAGATTTCTGGTTAAAAGAATTTTCCCCCCTTCTTCTCCCTACAGCGATTGTAAGAGCAATGCAACTTTATTTTCTGTTAATAAGGAAAAGGGATATATTTTCATTTTCCCTGCATGTGTAAGTGTATAAATATATATATACACACACACATACAGGAAAAAAAAAAAAAACAAACCAGAGAAAAAGTGTTTTATTTATACAAAACCTTTCCATCAGCAGGGACACCCAACTCTTCCGCCAACTGGGGGTGGATAATCCACTTATAAGCTTCCTTCAGCTGAACAATGTCATCCTTTTCCAAGGAAAGGCCCAGATTCCTGAATCACAAAGAAATAATAACTTGCACAGGGATCTGTCAAAGGTAAATACATGACATAGAATATTTCAAGAGGAACTTAAATAACTAGTGCCAAGTAAAACATTCATTTTTTTTCCTGTGGAAAAGGAGGAAACTGATGCCAGAGCCTCCTGGTAGTTGCAAAAGTCTTTCTCATCCAGAGATGAGAAAGAGAGATGTATTTCAAACCACTTGTTTGGGAACTTACAGAGCAAAAGAGATCAGAAACACCAATTAAGGTCAAACCGCATAAAAATATAAAAACCACATTAAAAACAGCTGCCATCTTATTCTTTGTAAGCACCAGGTAAATGTGGACTATAAAATTGACTTCAGGACTATAAAATCAACTTCTTGCCTGCTCATTATTTACAAAGAGAAATGGTGTCTATAGAAAGAGTTCTTGTCAGACAGCAAAAGGAAGGACGATGAAAAATGAATTAATAATTTTAAAAAATGAATAAAATAACAGCAACTCCCAGTTCTGAATTTCCTTATGATTAATTGTGAAGGTACAAAGTAAATTAAAATCTTGGCCAAGGGCGTAGGAAGTGAGTCTAATATTCCACAAGTGTGAGCAGAAGCACCTTGATGTGAAAGCAACTGTCCTGACCTTGAAACTACGACATTAATTTCTTGCTTAGCATTTTCTGCATTAAGGAGTTTTTAATTTCTACTGCACTGGAAAACAGCAGGAGTGGCTCTCCTTTCCCTAGATCTGGAAGAAGTGGGATGGGAGCTCCAAAAGCCACCACTCACCTCATCTCCTGCTTCACCCCCAGCCAAGCAGCTCTCTGGAGTCACAGCCACGCCCAGGGAGAAGAGAGAAAAGAAATAAAAGCAAGTGAAATTAAGGCTCAAAACTCCCAACAATTTGAGGAGGAAAACTGTTTTAAAAACTCAGGACAAAAGGGAAGTATTAAGAATTTAATGTAGCTTTTGCTTCGGAAGTGGAAAGATGGAACTGGTGTTTTTTTTATCTGTAAGACATCACTTTGCTCTTCACCTCAAATCCTACCTGGCTTTAAAAAAAACAAAGATCAGGCTTCATTAAACACTTGGGAACTTGCTTTATATCTAGAAAAACATTATATCTAGAAAACATTTATATCTATATTAATATATAGATATAACTTTACATCTATATAATTAATAAATCATACACTATAGAGACAGTAAAATATACATAATAAAATATAATAATAGATAATTAAATATTTATATAGAGATACATCTATATATAGATAGAAACCTAAATGTATTTATATCTAGATCTGAATATAAAAATTTATATCTAGAAAAAGACTTAAGTAATTAGTTGTTTACCATAATTAGCTTAAGTAATTAGTTATTTACCATACAGAGAAAATGCAAAAGCAATTGTTTAAATGAATTGTATATGAAAACGATTGACATAGAAATTAATAAACCCCCAAATTCAGTTATCATCCATTATAAAAAACACAAAATAAAAGACATAATTGGTCTTACAGTAATTGCAAAGTCTGAGAGTTGCTCCCTTATTTAAAGCACATCACTTAGCTTAGGAGACAGGCTGAATATGGGACTGAAGGAATAATTCCAGAAATCAGAGGGAGCTTTTAGTACAAACACTTGAGTTCACTAATAATGAATAAGAAGCAATTAATAAAAAGAGAAAAAATCCCCTCAAAACTTCCTATGATGAAGCAACAACAACAGAAGGAACCTCACCATAGATCTCTTTTACATGCTGATAGAGGAACTCAATCAAAAAAAACCCCCAAAAGTCTCTTATCCTTCCTTTGGTACATCTAAAAGGATAAAGGGACCCTAAAAAAAAGGGATGGCAGAGAGAGGACATGAACTCTGTTAGGTCCACGATACACAAACCCACAAATGCAGTTGTGTGGATGGGACTGTGTTTGCTCAGATCCAGTGATTCATTATCCCACAGCTGCAGACAGGGTGAGTAAGGCTGATTCACTCCCAGCATATTGTCATCTTGTTTGCATAATAACCCAGATAAAACCATAAACAAAAATAGCTTCCACTTGAAATTCCTTGAACGTAACTCTGAACCAGAGAATTTGACAACCGCAGAGCGGGGCCTAGAATTCGGCAGTTTAAAAGGCTCGGCCACACCTTGATTTGGAGTAAGTTTGGTGCTCAGCAGGGTGGCTCATCTCACTCCTTTTCATTTTTTTCCAGGGGTACAACTATAAGACAGACAAAACTTCTGCCTGTCAGCAGCTCTGCTAAAATTACACCTCCTCTCTCTTGACTTTCCGAGTTGAAAGAGAATTAAAGAAATTAGTTTTTCCCCTTCAATTAAGAGGACACAACAGATGAGGGTACTGAGAGCACAGGGGCCAAAAGATCCCAAATTCCAAAACCCCTCTACTTTGTCCCAGCTGCACGTGAAGCAGGGGATCAGATCCCTCTACTTCCTAATTACTTCATGTTTGTGGAGTGGTTGGAAAATGCCAAATGCTCATTACAGAGCTCAAGCCTGCAGGGCAATGCCGAGCAGAAAACGCATCCCTGAAATCCAGGAGCTCGGGCACTGTATTGATTCCAAGCTGCAGGATATTATTGTGCTGCTGGCTGAGGGATCACGGTGGCAACAGTTGCAATCCCAGCCCCAGCACTGTTCCACTCGATTAGAAAAGAGCTTGGAGATGGGGAATTCCAGGATGAGGTACAGCCAGTCCTACAGGGAGCGATGGCTGCAGATGTTATTTGCATCCGTGTCCTTGGAGCAAGCACCGGGATGATGGATCAGGACTGAGGCAACACACAGAGCTCAGTCACCCTTCTGAAGGGCACCACTCACTTCATATTCTAATAGAGCTGTCTGACATAAACTTGGGACTCCTGTGTTTATGATTTATTCCAAGCAAATATCCTGCCTGTGGAAAGAGGCTCCTGTGCATCCCAGATACAAATACCGTGCAAATGGTAATTTTATGTCCCGCTCTTTTTCAGCTCCTCCAGTACATTTTTATCCTTGGCAGGACGACAACTCTCATCATTAAATGAGTTGGAGGTAACATTAAAAGGCAGTTTCTGATTTTTTTCGGTTAAAAATACGTTGGAGAAAATCTCTGTGTCACAAAGGGCAGTGGGAGGGGGGTTGTCTTTGGGTGTCCTTTTAGGATAAGATTCCACACGTTCTTGCACAGAGCAGTTCCAAGAATTAAAAGCAGGATTTAACATACAACCTCTTTTCAACAGGTAGTATTTAGAGATATTTTGATATTTGATTTTGATATTTTCAGACATTTGGACATATTGCTGCTTTTCTGTAACTGTAGAACAGGGACTGTTTTTACCAATTATTTTTTTTACCACTTTTTTTTTTTTAAGTGATAAACAGGTCATAAATAAAAATTTTTAAAGTTCTTCCTCCACCATCACCCACTCCCACCCCTGCAGCTGGAGCACAAAAAAAGCTGGTTTAGCACTTGGCAAGACTGAAGGGATGGAATGGAATGGACAGCAGGAACCTCCTGATGCAAACCTTCTCCCAGTCGAACCCGAACTGCTTCCAAAGAGAACAGATGTGGTTTGGGAGCTTCCTACTCACTCATTTCACTCCATCTCTTCACTTCTGGCCCCACAGCACAACTTTTATTCCCTTGGCTGTCCCAGGCACCGTAGGACTGTTGGTTTGCTTGAACACAAGGACAGTGTGAGAACATCCCTCACCTGAACTGCAGTGCAACACCACCCTCTACCGAGGCTCCCCGGCAAACACCAGGTGCCTTCTGAACATCTCAGCTTCCACCAGGCAGAAAGCTGGAGTAACTCAGAGCACCAGAGGCACACACACGTGCATACACACACTCACCTTGCCTGAAAGTGCTTTTTTGGACATATTGTATGACCACAAGATCCAATGGCAATAAGGGCAGTTCATCCAGCCAGAAAGCACAAAGCGATTTGCTCTGGTCTTATTTTACCAGGGGCAGTGGCAGACGAAGCAAACACACCAATTATGCTCAATTTAAGATGAGAAGTAGAGAATCTTATGTTCAAGAAGACTTAGGAGCAGAATATATGATTGCTATCACACTGGCATTTGCCCAAAACGCCAGAACTCACAGCACAAATCACCACTAAAAGTGTAGTAATTATTTAACCAATCAAACTGTGTGGGATCAGAAGAGACCTCACCACAAGTTTATATATAAATCCAAGACAATCTGCCATGTGCACTGAAGCTTCTATCACATCTTGCCACAGCATCTATCATAAAAATTTACATGTTGCTTTTCAGAACACTATTTTTGCATCATTTCATACCAGAAAGCAGGGGAATGTTGTAAAACATCTGACAACTAAGCAAAAATTGGGGCTTTATTGGTCAAGTTATATTATGCTTAATATTATTCCTCAATTAAAAAAAATTACCAGGGTATACACTCTTTCTTATTATTACTATCCACTGTAATTAAATGAATGAAATGTAAGCAATTTGAGTTTGATTAAAATTGCCATAAAAATCAGTAGTTTCACAGCTTCAGATTTACAAATCTACACTTCCAACAATGCCCAAGCTGGGTGATTATTAAAGTATTTATTTTCCCATCATTTAAAATGCTGAACACTTAAAAGTTCATCCTGAAATTCCTCTGGTTGTATTCTGCACTACCAATTACCATTTATTTCTGGAAAGGCACCAGCTGTGCAGTTCCACCTCTGGAAGATCCACAGGGCTGCCATCCAAAGGGAACAATACACTGAGGGTTTAAACAAACTCCTTTCAGGATTTCAGCTGTAAAATAACTCCTGGGCTAACTGGAAACCAAAGTGACTCAGACCCTTTGTTAATTAAAATAATACTCACCCACAAGGAAGGGGAGAGCAGATTTCACTTCCAGCATGTGGTTTTGGTTTTTTTTTTTTTTAAGCAGTAACAATTAAAAATCAAACCACCTCCAGCTTGTACATTCCACAGTTACTTTGTTTAATATGTGTTGAAGTTCTTTAAGTTACTTACCTCCCTAACAGAGAGCTGGGGGGGGAGTGACACAGAAAATACAAAACTAGTGAACTGGTAGTCAGCAGAATTAACTTTTTGGCACACCTGGAAGAGAAGGAGTTTAATATTAAACCATAGCAATGGCACTGAGTTGATATTCTTTATTCAGTCACTGTTAATTCATGTTAACACACATTCAGAGAGATGCTGAACATCCAAACCAGAGTAATCACTAATCACTCAGTGAAATATAAGCTTTTTTGTTCTGTAAAGAAAAAGTTACTAATAAACTGTACCCTTATGGCTATGAAATAACCAAATTCACTATTTTAAAGCCAAGACCAATTGTATATTGAAATCTGTGTCCAAAAATCTACACCACAGTGACCAAAGACAAGAATAGCCAACTCTGAGCATCTTTCTTCATGGCAGTGATAAATTAATTCTAGGACAATAAAAATGTCTAAGATCCTGGGACAAGACAAGAACAAACAGGTATCCACAGCACTAATTCCTTGAGAAAAATCGTGTCTGTCCCTGGAAATAAAGTAGGATTCCAAAGACACATCTAACATTTTAAAGTGGGCCAGTGAGAACTGATGGCAAAGATGCCAACACACATGGAGAAGTCATCCAAAATGTCAGTGATTCTGGGGAATGTTAGAGAGGAATTCTGAGCTTTCAAGGTGAAATCAGCATCTTTACATATAAAATAATTAGGTTTTGCAGTGCCCTAACAAGTGCTGCCAGATCTTCCCTTGCTACTGAAAAGAGTAACTCAGAAACAAGTGTTTCTGTGCAAAGATACATATTCTGCCCATGGCAACAAAAAAGAAACATAATGCACTGCAACAACAGAAACCATATACTCTGCTTTCTGTTTAGTCCCATTTTTAGATACATTGATGCTATTAAACCAAATTCTTTCCTATTAAAACCCTGTTAAACATCTCAAATGCAGGTGGGAGTTTTCTAGCTGATATTTCAGTTTGTCACATGAGCAGTCCGAGTGCTCAGAGGTGATGTTTCTCCTAACTCTCTTTTTCTGTACTATACCCACAATCTGTTTTATCACCAAAACTTCTCCCTCTGTGGCTCTCTAAATATTATTCATTCCTTCATAAAGACAGGTTCATGCTGTATTAAAAACATGGAGCTAAGAGAACAGCAGCTGATGACTCCTCGTTTTCCTGTCACATAAAAAAAGTGAAGAGAGGTCACTATTCACACTGAGGTTTTCCTTGGAACCTCAGGTTATCTCCTAAATTCATGTAACCATGAATGAGTTAATCCTTTTCTTAGGGAAGTGTGCTCCCTGCAGTCAATCCATTGCACCTGCACTGCTGTTTTTTTTTTAAAGAAGTGACACTATGACAAAGCCTGGGCAAAATCTGGTGCCAACACAGATGTTACAGGTGTGCAAACACTGCCCAGGAGCAGGATGGAGTGGGATGGTGCCACCTACACTTCAAATACTCAAAACAGGTAAATGTTTTGGTTTGTCTTTTGTTTTTTTTCTTTCAAAAGAAAGAGAAAATATACCTTTCAAAAAAAAAAAAATAACCACCCCAAAACTGCATGGGGTTTTAACCATCAGCTCTACACTGTGGGCCCCAACATACACAAGCTCTAGAAAAAGGACCCCAAAAGACTAAGAACAGGGATTTACCCTTTTAACAAAGTCAGCCTCGCAGAACTCCTGAAGGATTCCCAAACACACGTTGCAAACCTTCCCAGCAGAGCTCTCCATGGCAGCATTCCCGTCGTTCTCCGAGGGAATCTGCGGGAGGGCTCCGTTGTGGTTCAGATCCTCGGGACCTTCTTCGGTGTCTTCCAGTCTGATCCTCTTACAAGGTGGGTCAACCACCTCCAAACAAACTGTGCCTTCTTCTTCTTCTTGATTCTTTTTCAGGAAGTCTCGTAAATCCTTCATCAGATCCTAACGCAAACACAGGAATCAATTCTGTTGTTTTTATCTCTTGGACAAACACAATTCCATAAAGCAGCACTAAGCATTCCAGTTGAGCCTTAGTTTATGTAATTAACAACTTGGAATTTATTCCCAAAGACATCTTGAAGACACAATTAAACAGCTCCAAGCTGCATTTTTCTAAAAAAACAGAAATGTCCAGAGAAACTGTTGCTCAATAGACTCATTTACCATCCAAGAACGAAAACATTTTCCAGACCTGACTTGCAGAAACACATTTATTTTTGCCTCATTGCTATTCCACGAAAATAGACATTTAGTGCCTTCTTGTCATTTAGATTAGATTAGAATTTAATTTCTCTAACTCCATTAGCCCAGGAAGAGAGCTGGTTAGTATGGTATAAAAAGAAAATAAGAGCAGATACAGGTTGGGAGTGAAATTAAATACATACAGTAAGAACCTAAGAACTCAAAACTTAAGAGGATGTGCTGGTGAGGAGGGAGAAGAACCTGCTTGTCTCTGAATTTCTGGAAGGATGAGAGGTAAAGACACAGTTCAGAAAGAAGGATTTATTAAAATGTCCTCAGTAAGAAAGTCAGCAGTTACTGTGTTGTTGCAACTCACAGGAAAATTAGGTAGAGATGCAAAAGAATAAAAAAATGGCACACACAATGAACACCCCTCAAATAACTGACAGAAAATGGACAAGGACAGGGAAGAAAAATGTTAGAAATGAATTCTGGGGAGTCTTAACTTGAACAAAGTTCAAGACAGACACCAGCATAAAGACAAGGGATTAGAGCAAGCAAATGGAGATGTTTGAGACAGGTCTCAAAGAACCAACACAGAGAAAAAGCAAAGAGCCAAAAAACCAAGTCGAGGAGTTCCAAGCATAAGAAAGAAGGCAAGAAAGATTATGCACAGCCAGGAAAAATTTAAACAACACTGAATTTCAGCACTAAGGTCAGCTAAAAAGGATGTGTAATGACACTGTGTTTGAGTGAAAAAGGAAGCTTTATCCTTAACCTGTGCCCTGCAATTCTTCAGGTGCATCCTACTACCAATTCTACTGAAGGAAGAATGAGGCAAAAATGCTTGGAGCATAGCTGGTTCCTCCAGGGTAGTGGAAAGGATACTGCATCCATGTGCTCCCACATTCTAACCAGGAATATAGAGGTCAAACCTTGTCTGGATGTCTGTAAAGGGTCTGTGATCCCACACAGCAGAACCTCAAAATACATCGTGGGCAAGTGCCAGTGTTGAGCAAGAGCTGAACAATTGGTCTGTCCTTCTCTGTTAGTGAAGACATGCTGGGGAATCCTGAAATTCCAAAAAGAGAAGGAAAAAAATAAAGCTTAGAATGAACACAGTTCAGCAATTTAACTGGATGGATTTCTTTTTGTCCTCTAAAGAAAGTTTATGATACGTGTTTGTTTTAAATCACAGGCACAAGAGAAGTGGAAGACCAACCCCAAACCACCACTGACTGGAGGAAGAGCTTCTGTACTTCCAAGGTTTTTCCTAGAAAAACCTGAATTCGAGAGTTCTGGCAAAGGAATGCTGAGCTTTTGCCCAGTTTTATGTTGGATAAAGTGCATTACACGACATGTTAATCTTTACTGAAAGAAGGAGGGTGGATCTAAGACATCTTAAGCCCAATTTAAAATGGAAATTCCTCCTAAAAATTGCAGAGCCTAAAGAATCAGTGTGTTAAAATCACAGGGGGGGGGGAAAAAAAGCCTCAAACAACATATGCCAGCCCCTTTTGCCACAAAAGCCCTAAAGGCAAAGGAAGCCTTTTCTATCTTTTCTATCCATTAGCCCCTGCAATTTTTTAAGATTTCTTATTTCCCATCCCAACACAGGACTCATGTTTTTGTGAGAAATCCCATAATGCCTTTTTTCCCCCCTAAAATGTTATGGCTACTTCGGTTTCCTGTCATTTTTCCCGCCCTTTAGAACAGGCCAAAATTTAATAATGGGATAGAACCCTCAGCATTTTTTGAAAAATATGGAAAATGAGAGATTCCCAGTGAGCTGCTCACTAGGGAACTTTAGGAGCACATAGGAATAACCACAGGTTCAATTAGTCCATTGTCACCCAAAGCAGGAATAAACAGGTGCCACAGGAAAATCCGTGTGTGCAGGGCACATTCCTCTGCCAAGTGCTCCTGTCTCCAATTATTTCTGGTTTTGGGGGATCCCTCTGACCTGGTGTGGTTTGGCTCTTGGGAAACCTAACTCCAGTGTCTCTTTGAAATTTAATATCCAATCCTGCTCAGAAGTACCTTGCACAGAAATACTGGAACCGTGGAAAAACCTCTACAGCATGGGAAGAGTTATTAATTCGACGATTTTTTTTGTCCTGGATTTGGATTCTTTATGGGAAGCTGTAAAAATCCAAGGGCTACCTGGAAAACTTTAAATCCCCTTTCAGCAAGAAACAGCAAACACGAACAAACAGGCTTTTAGGTAAAACTGCCAGTTCACCTTTATGAGAGTTAAATATTGGCATTGTTTGACACACCAGGACAAACGTGGTGATATTGGGTATGTTTTGGGGCAAGGAGGAGGGGGAAGGAGGTGGAATCTGTGGGGAGGTTCAGGACCCCCAGTCTGGCCCAACATCTCAAGGCTGGGAGAGGGAGCTCAGCACCTTCAGAGCATATCTGAGGGAGGGCAGATGAGTACCCCTATTCCAGCCCGAACCCTGAGGATTTGGGGGAGCTCGGGACACCCGATCCCCCAGGGCTGAGGGGACCCCATTATCCTCCACACCGAGGCTGAGACGGAGGGATGAGGACAAACGGGGCCCGCTCAGTACATGGCCGACCCCCTCGCAGGCCGGAGACGCCGTTCCCGTTCCCGTTCCCATTCCCGTTCCCGTTCCCATTCCCGTTCCCATTCCCATCCCCATTCCCATCCCATTCCCGGTCCCGCTCCCCTCGCTCACCGCTCGCACCGCGGCCCGGCACAGGCTCGCTCAGCTGCTCTGCAGAGCGCATCGCTCGGCCGGCGCGGCGGGGCGTCGCGCCCGCAGGGCGGCTGAGCGAACAGCTCGGCGCTCCCACCTGACGCCTGGCGGCGGGCGGGCCCTACCGATAGGGGCCGAGTGGGGCCGAAGCGGAACCGAGCGCGCCCGAAGCGGAGCCGAGCGCTCCCGAAGCGGAGCCGAAGCCTAGCCGAGTGAGCCCGAAGCGGAGCCGAGCGAGCCCGAAGCGGAGCCGAGCGGGCGCGATGGCGGCGACGCCGCCGCCCAAGCCCTGGGAGTCCCGGCGCCTGGCGGGCACCGCGCCCGCCTTCCAGTGAGTGCGGGTGTCCTTGCCCGGGGGTCCCTGCCGGGCGGGGACCGGTGTTCACCCGCTCGGGGCGGCCGGGCCCGCTGCCCTGGAGCGGGCTCAAAGGTCGGGCCCGGCCGGGGTCGGTCGGGGCGGGCGGCCCGCGGGTGTCGCGCTCCGTGAGGGGACTCCGGGGGGTCCCCTGTGGGGAAGGTGAAGTTGTAGGTGTGGGCAGGAGTGTTCAGGGTGTCCGTTCCCGGGGGTTGTGTGGCTGTGTTCAGCCCCGGGAGCTGAGTGTCACCGCAGAGCTTGGAAAAGATCCCTGTGTGTGACGGTCTGGGGGGTGTGGGAGCTCTCCCGGGAAATCCCGCCTGCTCGTGGAAAAGGATGAACGCAAAGTGTCTGTGGGCTCCTTTTTTATCAGGAGGCAAGGAAAGCTCGCCTGGTGGCTGAAGATCCGATTTGTTTTTCTTTTGCAATTAGAGCTGAAACTGGGCGAAAGGTTGGCCCAGCTCTGAACATTTCACAGACAACTTCGCTGCGCTCCCTGTTTCCTGAGCGAGCAATTAAATGTTAATTTTTCTTGCTGGGTTTATGTACCCCGTGTTAATGGCTTCAGGCACCTTTAAAGTGAGGTGTCCCAAGCTGACTATTGAGCTGGGAACTGTAGAGTGACTTGCTGAGTTACAGTATCTCTCTTTGCTGTTATAATGACTTAGTTTTGCTCCCGGTTTTAGCTGGTAAATAGCAATTCCAACTTGGCATTTTTTCCTTCTGCCTTTTTTTTTTTCCCCCTGTGAATTTAATGGGCTACAGAAGTGGGAAATAACCAAAATGTTTGACTTTTAGGTTGATAATATAGGACTTTTTCTGTGTCCAGAAGTAGAGCAAAAAGCTGCTTGAGAGAATTTAAATGCCAGTCAAGTACTTTCAGAGTCTTATTATGATTAAATAACTTGAACTTTTGAGCGTACAAAGGAAAAAAAAGTTTACTAAACTAAATACAAGTGATGGACTCATAAGACCTTTTTCTACCAACAGCAGTAAATTCAATATCAATAATCAGTAGTAGATTCAATCCCTTTATAATCTGCACAAAAGTAATGAGGTGTTTTGGGTAGAGGGGGAAACTGGGAGGCCCAAAGGCCTTGGACAGGTTGTTGCATAATTACTTGGATTCTCAATTAGGTCACACCACCCTTTAAGGGTGGATTCAAAGGAGCTCTCAAACTTCTTCCTGCTGTATCGTTGGCTTATTGCAGTGTTGGAAATAAAGCTATTTTTTGGGGGGGAAATTCATAAATATTTTTGGTGGGGCCCATGGTGTGCAGAAGAATGACCTGGGTGTTACAGCAACAGGTTTGGTGGATCTAGAAAGTGCATTTCATGCATGTATAAATTAATAAATAGACAAAGTTTTTCAATGTGTACACATCCCAGTTTCATGTTTACACTGGGTATCTCATTATGGTTTTTGTTCCCCTGAAAGACCTGTATTTCCTGACTGGATTTTTAACTTCCAACTGTACAACTCTCTTGAGTGTTTGGCTCCCAGCTTCCCTGTCCCAGCAGTGCTGAAACTCACTGTGACATTTATGGAATTAGCCAAGGACCCCGAGGAAATGAAAAATCTAAACTTTGGGTGCTGATCTTCCTTGTTTGAATTTTTTTTTAGGTCTGCTGACTTGGGTGACAACATGCTGACCAGACCCGGCCAACCCGCCGTGGCACGGATACCTCCACCCATTTTGCCAAGGCCATCCCAGCCAACAGGAAGCAGCAGTCTGAGCACCTTCAGGCCAGCTTATAGTGGTTCTTTCTCTCCGGGCTATGGTTCATATGGAACCTCTTTCTATGGAAGCTACAGCCCTTACAGCTACGGATACGGTGGGCTGGGGTATAACCGGTTCTGTGCCGATGGCCTTCCCCCCAGCAGGTTTGTGCAGCAGGCTGAGGAGAGCAGCAGGGGGGCTTTCCAGTCCATTGAGAGCATCGTGCATGCCTTTGCCTCGGTCAGCATGATGATGGATGCCACCTTCTCAGCTGTCTACAACAGCTTCAGGGCTGTGCTGGACGTGGCCAACCACTTCTCCCGCCTCAAAATCCACTTCACCAAGGTGTTTTCGGCTTTTGCTTTGGTCAGAACTATAAGGTACCTCTACCAACGGCTGCAGAGGCTGCTGGGGCTGAGGAACAGCTCTGAGAACGAGGATTTGTGGGCTGAAAGTGAGGGCAAAGTGGCTCGTGTTGGCCTCGAAGACAAGATGGGAAACTCTGCAAAGTCCTGGCCCATTTTCTTGTTCTTTGCTGTTATAATGGGAGGGCCCTACCTGATTTGGAAGCTGCTTTCTACATACAGTGATGAAGAAACAGGTAAAGATGATCTGCAGCACAAGAGTTCCTTGTTCCTTTCGCTGTTGTCTGTGTGGTGATTAATCTACACAACAGTAATTGCAGTTAATAGATACTGGGGCACAATGCTGAATTTTAGGCATGTGATACAAGTGACAGCCTGTTGTTGAGTTAGGATTGTATTTAAGCTGTGTGTGATTCCAAAATCATGGTTCCTTCCTAGTGGATGTAGCAGTTTGGGGTGTATTGCTTGGATTAACTCAGCAAGTCGTGCTTTGCTTGTTACTCCTGTCAGTTCTCTGCCAGAAAAGTTTTAGCAAGGGAGTTAAAGAGTTTTCTTCATTTTCTTTTAAAAAGACACACCAAACTTTGTAATTCAAAGCAGATAAACTTTCAATGTATGTTTGCAAACAGTGTCCAGTAACTGGGCTAGTGGAGAAGATGACCACGTAGTTGGAAGAGCAGAATATGATTTCAATGCTCTCTCAGAAGAAGAAATTTCTTTCCGTGCTGGTGACATGCTAAAATTAGCACCCAAAGGTAAACTTTTAATTTCTATTTTTTTCTAACGTATTTTTCTATTTGTTTCTGTTTATTTTCTAGTCATAATGGAGTTATAGTGTTAGAGTCTGAAAATTAAAACTAAAAAACCAAAACCACCTTATTTGGCCAAATACTGATTTTTTTTTTCCCCCCACACTAAGTTATTATTTGCACTGGAATAAAACTTTCTGAGTAGTTTTGTTCGCTGTCGTTGAATCGTTTTGCAACTCGATGCTTTTGCGTTTTCTCCTTCAGAACAACAGCCCAAAATCCGTGGTTGGCTCCTGGCCAGTTATGATGGCCAAACAACAGGACTTGTGCCAGCTAATTACATCAAAATCCTGGGCAAAAGAAGAGGTAGGAGAACCGTGGACCTGGAAAAGATTCCTGAGCAACGTCCAGCCTTCCCCAGCACGCCTGGTGGAGGAGCCACTGCTGCTGTGACTTTGGAGGAGCAGGAAGCTGCTTTTGAAACTGTTTTTGCTGGAAGTAGTAAAGTTCCCATTGCATCCGACACCGCTGTGGGCAGTGGAGAGAAACAGGAACTCTGATGCACTTTGATCAACAAAGCAACTGAACTGTGCTTTACTGATGCAGCTTTAGGGACTGCTGGAAACGTGGTTTGTAGTGGAACACTGATGGGCAGGCACCAGTGATTGCTGCTACTGACTGGTGAAGGGCTGGAGAAATGATTGCTCCAATCTGTAGTATTTATTTTTGGCTCATCTGAGGCTGTACATTAGTGATTCTGTCCAACCACCTGGCAGCGACTCCTGAGAGCTTGAGATAAGGAGAGTGGAGGCATTTACAACAAAGCAAACAAAGGAGAACGATAGGGACTGCCCTGTTAAAGAGACAAACCTTTGGTGAAATGGGGGATTAACACCCAGTCCCCATTAGAGTATTGGCTTGACAGGAGGCCTCCTCAATAGATGTGCAAAGGGAAGATTGATTTCTGTGAGGTGTCCTCCAAAACTGCACACTGAGGGCCCTGCAAAAGTGATGGCACATTGTTTCCCTCTGAAAGGTGGGAGAGCTGCAGGAGATTTAGGAGACCCAATTGAACGGTTAAAAGTTGAGTAGGGCTCTATCATAAAGAGTTGAGCTCTTAGAAAAAAGGGATTTGTGAGGAGGGGAGGAGAAACAGAGTTTACAGGGGAAGAGCAGTGAGGCTTCACCAGTAGTTCTAAGCAGTTCTGTTTTGTTTATTAAAAGGAATTTGAATAAAGGGTATTCTGCTGTCAGGCACTTATTAGTTGTCACTCCCTTCTGTGGTAAACTAACTTTGCATCACACTTGGCCATTTTGTGTTGTAGCCTGTTAGCTGCCCATCCATAGTCCACCACCCACATCTCCACTTATTTCTGCTCTTTATTGGTTTTATATGAATGTCAAAACACCTCTCCTGCCTCCTAGTGCAGAAGGAAAGCATTGCTTTGGGGGAAGTTGAAAGGAATTGGAGCAGCAAAGAAAAAGTAACATTTCTTGCTTAATTAT